TCCCAGGAGGCCCCCAGGAGGCCCCAGGAGGAGATTCGATCTCTTTACAACCAGAACAACCACTTTACAACCAGATGGGATACTTCACAACCAACATAGGATTGGAAAGTATGGTTTTTCATCGAGAACGTCCACTTTGCAACCAGAACGGCCCACTTTACAACCAGAACGGACCACTCTACAACCAGAACGAGCCACATTACAACCAGAACGGACCACTTTACAACCAGCTCAGAGTGGCCGTGCGTGTTTGGGCGTTCCGCAAAGTGCTCCAGAGCAAGTGGGCGCTCTGAAAAATGCCCCAGAGCAAGTGGGCGCTCTGAAAAATGCTCCAGAGCAAGTGGGCGCTCTCAAAAGTGCTCCAGGGCGCGCGGACGCTCTGAAAAATGATCCAGAGCACGTGGGCGCTCTGGAGCCCGAGCGCCTGAACTCTCTGCGCAGGCCCCAGCGATGCCTCTGAACCCGAGCGCCTGAACGCCCCGCGCAGGCCCCAGCGATGCCTCTGAGCCCGAGGACCTGGACGCTATGCGCAGGCCCCAGCGATGCCTCTGAGCCCGAGGACCTGGACGCTCTGCGCAGGCCCCAGCGATGCCTCTGAGCCCGAGGACCTGGACGCTCTGCGCAAGCCCCAGCGATGCCTCTGAGCCCGAGCGCCTGGACGCTCTGAGCAGGCCCCAGCGATGCCTCTGAGCCCGAGCGCCTGGACGCTCTGTCGCTCTGAGCCCAGCAAACTAAGACAGGGCTTGCTAGCAGGGGCCAAGCGGCCTCAACAAGGGCCCCGTGATCGCACGGGAATAAAGCGACAGCATACGTAGGAAGGCCCAGGGCGACGCGCTGCCCATTTTAGGGATCACTCACCGGAAGCGAGCCTGGTGGCCTCCACAAGGGCCCAGCGCCCCAGGGAACTAGGCCAGTGGCACCGCGGGTCTCTTGGGCCACGTTGGCCCCTGAAGCCCCACGGTGTTCTGCAAGGGGCTAAGTGCTCCCGCTCCTGTTGGCCCCCTGCTGCTCCTCTTCTTGGAAGATCGAGGTTCAACGTTCCGAATACATGCAACTATTTCGAATATCGTTCCTTCCAGCGTCAGCCACAGTGCCAGCGCAGCAACGCAGGTATCCTGCTCGGGCAGCAGCCTCAGCCACCGTGCCAGCGCAGCAGCTTGAGCCACCGTGACAGCGCAACACCGCCACCTTTGTGCCTGCTACCACCAAACTTACCGCTGCAGCCCCGCTACCTCCACAATTCCGACTGACCCCCCGCTACCACCGCAAATCCCATTGCAGCCCAGCTACCACCACAGTTCCCACCGCTGCCTGGCGACCACCACAGTTGCCACCGCAGCTTCCCAACACCATGCAGTTCCCATTGTAGCCCCCGCTACCACCACATCTCCCACTACGGCATCCCGCTGCCATGCAGCTCCAGTCTTGGACGGGATCATGGTTTATTCGTATGTCCTGCGCGACTAGCCTTCGTCCGTCAGAAGAAAGCAGAGCAAGCAATGGCAGAACTGACCGACAGAACTTAGAGAGCAGGTCAAACCCTAATCCGCCCACCAGCACGCAACATACCATAGCGCACCAGGTCGCCGCATCGCCAACGCGTGCGCAGTGCTTCTTCGTGCGCGATGGGCAACAACACAACCAACATGCCTCAAAGAGCCCAAAGCCACCCTTGCGCTTGCCCACGGAGATTTCAGGGAAAGGCCCGCGTGCATTCAATCTGTGTTTTTACTTGCCTGGTTGTAAAGTGCCTTTCCTGGTTGTAAAGTGCCCTTCTCGGATTTTGTAAGCTGGTTGTAAAGTGACCCATCTGGTTGTAAAGTGCGTTTCTGGTTGTAAAGTGACCCACACGCGCCCCAGGAGCCCCCCTATCAGAACGTGTCAAGTTAATACACATCCGGTGTCGATTCGTTGATTATTCCTGCTCTTGTGGCCCCCCCCCATTGTGGGGCGGCCCGACGGCCCCATGGTAGATATGCCCATGGGAGCCCAAAGAGGCTTCAGGAAGCCCCAGGTGGGGTCCAGGAGGCCACAGGAGGCCCAGGAGGAAGCCCCAGGAGGTCACCAGGAGGTCCCCAGGAGGCCCCAGGAGGCACCAGGAGGCCCCCGCAACTCGGAGCTCTGAGACGCCGCGCTCGAGGTGGTCCGGCCCGTTTCGCCTGAGACTTCCTCGCAGCACGTTTCGCCCCAGACACCGGCCCGTTTCGCCTGAGACATCCTTGCAACTCTGAGCTCTGAGATGCCGTGCGCAAGTTGGTCCGGCCTGTTTCGCACAAGACGTTCTCGCAACTCTGAGCTCCCAGATGCCGCGCAAGAGGTGGTCCAGCCTGGGGGCCCTTGGAGCCCCAGGAGGCCCCAGAGAGCTTCAGGAAGCCGCAGGACGCCCAGGACAGGCCCCAGGGGTCCGCAGGAGATTCCCAGGAGGCTCCCAGGAGGCCCCAGGAGGCCCCCTATCAGAACGTGTCAAGTTAATACAAATCCGGTGTCGATTCGTTGATTTTTCCTGCTCTTGTGGCCCCCCCAGTTTGGGGGGCCCCGACGGCCACATGTTAGATATCCCTCCCTGGGAGCCCCAAGAGGCTTCAGGACGCCCCAGGTGGGGTCCAGGAGGCCACAGGAGGCCCAGGAGGAAGCCCCAGGAGGTCACCAGGAGGTCCCAGGAGGCACCAGGAGGCCCCCGCAACTCGGAGCTCTGAGACGCCGCGCTCGAGGTGGTCCGGCCCGTTTCGCCTGAGACTTCCTCGCAACACGTTTCGCCCGAGACACCGGCCCGTCTCGCCTGAGACATCCTTGCAGCACGTTTCGCCCGACGAGATCGTGGAACTCTGGGGTCCGAGATGCGCGCAAGAGGTGGGTCCAGGCCTCGTTTACGCCTGAGACATCCTCGAACTTCTGAGCTCTGAGATGCCCTGCGCGAGGTGGTCCGGCCCGTCTCGCCTGAGACATCCTTGCAACTCTGAGCTCTGAGTTGCCGTGCGCAAGGTGGTCCGGCCTGTTTCGCACAAGACATTCTCGCAACTCTGAGCTTTCAGATGCTGCGCAAGAGGTGGTCCAGCCTGGGGGCCCAGAAGACCACATGTTACATATCCTCCATGGGACCCTGCGAGCCTCAGGAGGCCCCAGAGAGGTCCAGGAGGCCGCAGGACGCCCAGGACAGGCCCCAGGGGTCCGCAGGAGATTCCCAGGAGGCTCCCAGGAGGCCCCAGGAGGCCCCTATCAGAACGTGTCAAGTTAATACACATCCGGTGTCGATTCGTTGATTGTCTGCCCATTTTGGGGCCAAGAGGCTTCAGGAAGCCCCAGGTGGGGTCCAGGAGGCCACAGGAGGCCCAGGAGGAAGGCCCAGGAGGTCACCAGGAGGTCCCAGGAGGCCCCAGGAGGCCCCCGCAACTCGGAGCTCTGAGACACCGCGCTCGAGGTGGTCTGGCCCGTTTCGCCTGAGACTTCCTTGCAGCACGTTTCGCCCGAGACATCGTCGCAACTCTGGGGTCCGAGATGCCGCGCAAGAGGTGGTCCAGCCCGTTACGCCTGAGACATCCTCGCAACTCTGGGCTCCGAGATGCCCTGCGCGAGGTGGTCCGGCCCATCTCGCCTGAGACATGCTCGCAACTCTGCTGAGATGCCGTGCGCAAGGTGGTCCGGCCCGTTTCCACAAGGCATTATCGCAACTCCGAGCTCTCAGATGCTGCGCAAGAGGTGGTCCAGCCTGGGGGCCCAGAAGACCACATGTTACATATCTCCCTTGGGACCCTGGGAGCCCCAGGAGGCCCCAGAGAGCTTCAGGAGGCCGCAGGACGCCCAGGACAGGCCCCAGGGGTCCGCAGGAGATTCCCAGGAGGCTCCCAGGAGGCCCCAGGAGGCCCCCTATCAGAACGTGTCAAGTTAATACACATCCTGTGTCGATTCGTTGATTCTTCCTGCTCTTGTGGCCCCCCCCCCCCACCATTTTGGGGGGCCCCGACGGCCACATGTTAGATATCCCCCCCTGGGAGCCCCAAGAGGCTTCAGGAAGCCCCAGGTCGGGTCCAGGGGGCCACAGGAGGCCCAGGAGGAAGCCCCAGGAGGTCACCAGGAGGCCCCAGGAGGCCCCAGGAGGCCCCCACAACTCGGAGCTCTGAGACGCCGCGCTCGAGGTGGTCCGGCCCGTTTCGCCTGAGACTTCCTCGCAGCACGTTTCGCCCGAGACATCGTCGCAACTCTGGGGTCCGAAATGCCGCGCGCGAGTGGTCCAGCCCGTTACGCTGGAGACATCCTCGCAACTCTGGGCTCCGAGATGCCGTTCGGGATGAAGAGGAGGTGGAGGAGGAGGAGGAGGAGGAGGAGGCATGTTTAACATGCCATGCCAGCCCGCACTGGACGGGCACGCAATCGACCTTGGAAACCGCAGTGGGTCTAAAAATCCTGTTTGGGGATACTGCACTCCGGCTATAATTTTACAAGGGACCCTCAGGGGGGGAATACCGGTTGGCCTGGGACATTGCGATTTCATATTCAGGATGGACATGTGGTCAGAATCATAGATGATTTACATACCCAAAAGGGGGAGTGATAGCGCCGGGGGGGCGTAGATGCTATTCTGTTTTTAGAAAAGAGAATCCATGTTATGCGATGCGCGTGGTGCGATTATGCGGAGCCGCGACGAGGCGGCGATGGGGCGGCGACGGCGACAACATAGCCGCCAGACCGACGCACAGGCCTAGACGACGGGGGGCGACGAGGCGGCGACGGGGCGGCGACGTCGACAACAGAGCCGCCAGACCGACGCACAGACCCAGATGACGGGCGGCGACGGGGCGGCGACGGCGACAACATAGCCGCCAGACCGACACAGAGGCCTAGACGACGGGGGGCGACGAGGCGGCGACGGGGCGGCGACGGCGACAGCAGAGCCGCCAGACCGACGCACGGGCCCAACCGATGGCCAGCGAAAAAGCGAAGACGGGGCGGCGACGGCGACAACTTAGCCGCTAGACCGATGCACAGGCCCACTTTCTTCGAAACCGACAAGACCCCCCAAAATGCAAGCACTGATTGGGAAATGTGTTGCCTTCTGAAAGGAACGCGTCAGCAACTCCAGGTCGAGTCACCAAGTGGATTCGGAAGGGCACCACCACGGGCGGCCCACAGGCCAAAGGAGCACTTTATGATGGAGAGACCTTGGGGCTGACGGCCTGTGCTCCATGGGAGCGGAGGGGGCGAAGACAGGGGAGGGGGGGGCAGAGGGAAAAGAAAGCTGGCGGAACGGGCGGGCATGGGGAGTGAAATCAGTGGCACGTGGCAAGGCAGTTTTTGCTGTTCTGGCGAAACGAAAAAGAACCCAAGCAGAAACAACAAAAATCAGCCTGGCGAGCGACCTGGCCATATGCAGTTGTGAGCACCGTCGTTGTATGCACCGCATTCGGTGGAGCTCCCTATAGAGCTACCAAACGTGTGAGGAGAGTGCCAAAATGGACACGGTGAGCGCATGCGAACGCTGGCATTGGGGCCTTCGGTGGGGCTCCCTATAGGGCCACGAAACGTGTGAAAGGTGTGCCAAAATGAATGCGGTGACCACATGCGGACGCTGGCATATGAGCCTTCGGTAAAGCTCCCTGTGGGGTCACGGAACGTGTGAGGGGTGTGCCAAAATTTGCGCGGTGGGCGCATGCGAACGCTGGAATGTGGGCCTTCGGTGTGGCTGCCTGTGGGGCCACGAAACGTTTTAGAAGTGTGCCAAAATGGGTGCAGTGGGTGCATGCGAACGCTGGCATTGGGGCCTTGGGTGGGGCTCCCTGTGGGACCACGAAACGTATGAGGAGAGTGCCAAAATGGGTGTGGTGACCGCATGCGAACGCTGGCAGTTAGGCCTTCGGTGGGGCTCCCTGCGGGGCTACGAAACGTGTGAGGGGTGTGCCAAAATGGCATTTGGGCCTCCGGTGGGGCTCCTTATGGGGCCGCGAAGCGTGTGAAAGGTGTGCCAAAATGGGTGCGGTGACCGCATGCGGACGATGGCATTCGGGTCTTCGGTTGGGCTACCTGTGGGGCCACGAAACGTGAGACGGGTGTGCCAAAATAGGTGCGGTGGGCGCATGCGAACGCTGGAATTTGGCCTTCGGTGGGGCTCCCTGTGGGGCCACGAAACGTGTGAGGGTGTGCCGAAATGGGTGCGGTGGGCGCGGTGGGCGCATGCGAACGCTGGCATTTTGACCTTCGGTGGGGCTGCCTGTGGGTCCACGAAACGTGTGAGGGGTGTGCCACAATGGGTGCGGTGACCGCATGCGAACGCTGGCATTGGGGCCTTCGGTGGGGCTCCTTGTGGGGCCACGAAACGTGCGATGGGTGTGCCAACATGGGTGCGGTGCCCGCATGCGAACGCTGGCATTCGGGCTTTCGGTGGGGTTCCCTGTGGGGCCACAACACGTGTGAGGGGTCCGCCAAAGTAAGAGGGGTGACGGGAGGAGGGAGGAGGAGGGGGAGGAGGAGGAGGAGGAGGAGGAGAGGAGAGGAGAGGAGAGGAGAGGAGAGGAGAGGACAGGACAGGAGAGGAGAGGAGAGGAGAGGAGAGGAGAGGAGAGGAGAGGAGAGGAGAGGAGAGGAGAGGAAAGGAGAGGAGAGGAAAGGAGAGGAGAGGAGAGGAGAGGAGAGGAGAGGAGCGGATGGGAAGGGAGAGGAGAGGAGAGGCGAGGAACGCTGGGACCGTCTCTGCCAAATGCGGACCCAACACAACAGGATGGTTGGGAAACGAAAGAGAAAACAACCAGAAATTACAACAACAACAACAACAACAACAACAACAACAACAACACCAACAACAACAGCAACAACAACAACAACGACAACAACAACTATAAAACAAGAACAAAAACAAAAACAAAACAAACAAACAAACAAACAGAAAACACTGCTGGCGGCCTGTGTTCCGTGGGTGGCGGCGCGGGGACTGCGGGGGGGAGGGGCGGGGGGATCGCCTTCGTCAAACTGTAGCCCGAAGTGGCCCAAGCAAATGGTACTAAAAGCCCGCACGATTCACCACTGCCGACCAAACGCCGCACCAGCCGCTTGTGTCGCGGAACCGAACAGCGGAAGAATACGAGGAACCCATTAGGCAAATCCTGATTGGGGAACAGATCATCAGCCCCGCACAATCGCCCGCGCGCTCCGAACGACTCTTCGCTCTGGGAACCTCTTTCTCGGCCCGGGGGTCCAAGGCGGCCCCCTTTGGAACCTCAAGAATTCAGAAGCCTCAGCGTGCCTCCGTGCCTCTCCAGATTCTAGGAAGAGGAGGACCACGAGGAGGAGGCGGAAGAAGGGAAGAGGAGCAGGACGGTGATGAGGAGGAAGGGGAAGAGGAAGGGGAGGAGGAGGAGGAGGAGAAGGAGGAAGAGGACGAGGAGGAGAAGGAGGAGGCTGAGGAGAAGGAGCATGAGGAGATGGAGGAAGAGGCGGAAGAAGGGGAGGGAGATAGGGAGGAGGAGAGGGAGGAGATGGAGGATGAGGAGGACCGATGCCAACCCAAGATGCATCAACGATGATGCAATACACCTACCCGCCCCGAACCCCGTCCCCACAAGCCCCGATCAAGAAGTCATTTTTCACAACGGGAAATGCCCCTTTGGAAGGCGAGCACCCCGTTTTGAGACGGAACTGCCACCCATGCGTCTAGCCATACGGGCGGCAAAAAAGAAGGGTCATAAAAACCAAAAACACGTCAAGCGGAAGCGGCACGCTTTGGGACAGAGCCACAGCCAATCCGTGAAGAGAATCTCGCCCGTTGGAACGTTTGGCCACGAAGCCTACTGTAGTCTGAGGGGAGAACCCCAATTTGAAAGGGAGTAGCCGTAGCCCTCCATCCGTGACGCGGTTGCGCACCCGACGAATTCGCCATCGTACCCCTGGCACGTGGAGGAGGAGCCCACACCGCCCCTGCTAGCACTCACGCGCGTGCACCCTACCCCTCCTCCCGAGACTCTCTGGACTGCCGGGCGCCACCTTAGCACTCTCCAAGACGCACAAGAGGCCCAAGAGTGCTTCCAAGACGGACAAAGCAAGGTACCAAGGCTGCCGGGGTGGTCCAAGACGTTCCCATGACGGCCCACGACGGTCCGAAGACGACCGAGGACGGCCTCAAGACGGCCCGATATGCCCCCAAGAGAACCCAGAAGAGCCGCAAGAAGACCCCCGACAGGGCCCACACGACCAATATGGCCCCAAGGCGGCCCAAGAGAACCCCAAAATGGGCTACGCAGGAGGCCAAGACAACCCCAAGACGTCACTGCTGAGTCCCATGAAAGCTCCTCAGGAAAGAATGACGAAACATGTCATATATGTGGCCTTCCTCTTCCCCCGCGTCGCCCTCCACCTTTTCGTCTCATCATCATCATCACCACCAACAACAACAACGACAACCATCATTTTACCTTCACGCGCCATGCTTCCACATGTCACATGCATCCTTCTGGACACCACACCCCATCATAGGGGATGTTGTCGGCGCGCGGGGTCCGATATTCCCTCGCCAAGATCTCCCGCCCAAGACAGCATTGCCACCACCTCCTCCGAGGAACTTCGACATCCACAGCTCGGACGGCGCAACGCCATCGCAATCGCCTCGCGCACGCCCCGCATCTCGGAGGAGGAGGAAGAGGACGAGGAGGGGAGGGATGATGAGGGAGAGGAAGAGGGAGAGGAGGAGGAGGATGGAGGAGGAGGAGGAGGAGGAGGAGGAGGGGGAAGGAGGAGTAGATGTAGTAGCTGTACCTCCGAGGACGAGGTGGTCCTGACTCCTCGTTTGAACTGTTACGCCACCATCCTGCGGCCTCGGCGCGTGACCCTGAACGTTCACGCCCCCGGGCGATGCCGCTCCCATGATCGCATCCTCCACCTGCCCCTCCACACCCTCTCAAGGAATCCCTGAAGTCAATCCTTCGACCCTCAATCCTTGGAGCCCCTGGAAGTCATCCGTCCTCCTCCTTCTCCTCCTCCTCCACATTTTCTATGGTCTCCAAGAGACCCCCCAGATGCGATGCCGGAACGAGGGCCCCAGTCTTGAGTAAACGGTGAGAAAATATCAAGCGGGAGCGACGAGGGAGGACGGAAGGGGAAGGGAGGACGGAGGAGAGAGGAGGGAAGCAGGAGGAGGGAGGAGACAAGGGGACGAAAAGGGAAAGAAGGAGGGATGAGGAGGTAGGAAGAGGGAGGAAAGAGGGACGGGAAAGGGAGGAGGGAGGAGGAAGAAGAGGAGGGGGTGGAGGAAGGAAGAGGGAGGAAGAGAGAGGGGGAAGGAGGGAGGTGGAGGAGGAGTGGAGGAGGAGGAGTGGAGGAGGAGGAGGAGGAGGAGGAAGAGGACGAGGGGAGGAAAAAGGAGGAGGAGGAGGAAAAGGAGGAAGAGGAGGAGAAGGAGGAGGAGGGAGGACAAGGAGGAGGAGGAAGAGGAGGGAGAAAAGGGGGACGGAGGAGGGAGGAAGAAGGGAGAAGAGGAGGGGGTGGAGGAAGGAAGAGGGAGGCAGAGGAGGGAGGGGGGAGGAGGGAGGAGGAGGAGGAGGAGGAGGAAGAGGAGGAGGACAAGGAGGAGGAGGAGGAGGAGGAGGAGGACGAGGAGGAGGAGAAGGAGAAAAGGGCGCCAGCCCAGCGTAACACGGGAGGAAGTCTCGGGCGGGAACGCTGGTTTTGTCGGGGCGGCGGCTTTCGGCGGCGAGCAAGAGCACCGCCTCGAGTAAAAACAGGGAGGAGAGGCCGCGAGCGGGAGCCTTGTTTTTGCGGGGGGCGGCGCCGACGAGAGAAAGACGAGCGCGCCAGTCCAAGGTAAAACGGGAGGAAGCCTCGAGAGGGAGCGTTGGTTTTGTTGAAACGGCGGCTTTCGGCGGCGAGCAAGAGCACCGGCCCTGAGTAAAAGAGAAGGAAATCTCGAACGGGAGCGTTGTTGTTGTTGGGAGGCCGGTTTTGGCGGCCCCCCAAACCGCTTGAGAGCGAGCCTCATTTTCCATGAAAATGCAGCCGGCGCCTCGGGCAGAGAGAGAGGGCGCATGTAAGGGGTTCAACAATAACAACTGTTTAGCAATTAACATTCAACAACAAGAACAACAACAACAATAACAACAACAACCACACCACCACCACCACCACCAACAACAACAGCAACAACAACAACAACAACAACAACAACAGCAACAACAACAACAACAAAACAACAACAACAACAACAACAACAACAACAACAACAACAACAACAACGATAACAATAACAACAACAACAACAACAACAACAACAACAACAACAACAACAACAACAACAACAACAACAACAACAACGACAACGACAACAACAACAACAACAACAACAACAACAACAACAGCAGCAGCAGCAACAACAACAACAACAACAACAACAACAGCAACAACAACAACAACATCAACACCAACAACAACAGCAGCAGCAACAACAACAATAACAACAACAGCAGCAACAGCAACAGCAACAGCAACAGCAACAACAACAACAATCAGTTGACCCTCATGCGCGATGTTTCCACACGAAGCATGCGATCATCATGGTCATCATCCACATCATGGGGGACTCTTGTTCTATAGCGGAGTCCGTTATTCCCATCCCCAGATATCCCGCCCAAGAAGGCCTTGCAAACACCTCCTCCGAGAAATTTCAACATGTCCCGCCTTGAAAACACATGCCCGCGCCTTGCTGCGCCGATGCGAGACCACCAGTGGAACCCCAGCGAAGGGCAAAGCACAAGGAAGTATCGAAAGACAGGATTGCCTTGGTGGGGATGGGGGCTGTCGGCGGTGAGGCAAGGACCTGGCCCTGAATATAAAGGGAGGATGTCTCGAGCAGGGCTGCTGTTGTGGCTGGGAGCGGCGCCAATGCTGAAGAGAGACGGGCGCTAGTCCAGCGAGAACGGAAGGAAATCTCGGGCGGGAGCGCTGGTTTTGTTGGGACGGCCGCTTTCGGCGGCGAAAAGGAACACCGCCTTGAGTAAGAAAGGAGGAAGTATCGGGCGGGAGCCGTGGTTTTGTCGGAGCGGGGGCTGTCGGCGGCGAGGAACAGCACCGTCCCGAGGAAAAAAAAATAAAATCTCGAGCAGGAGCGTTGTTCTTGCTGGGAGCGGCGCCAATTCAGAAGAGAGTAGGGCGCCAGCCCAACGTAACACGGGAGGAAGTCTCGGGCGGGAACGCTGGTTTTGTCGGGGCGGCGGCTTTCGGCAGCGAGCAAGAGCACCGCCTCGAGTAAAAACAGGGAGGAGGCCGCGAGCGGGAGCCTTGTTTTTGCGGGGGGCGGCGCCGATGAGAGAAAGACGAGCGCGCCAGTCCAAGGTAAAACGGGAGGAAGTCTCGGGCGGGAGCGCTGGTTTTGTTGAAACGGCGGCTTTCGGCGGCGAGCAAGAGCACCGGCCCTGAGCAAAAAAGGAGGAAGTCTCGAACAGGAGCGCTGTTGTTGTTGGGGGGCCGGTTTTGGCGGCCCCCCAATCCGCTCGAGCGTGAGCCGCATTTTCAATGAAAATGTAGCCCGCGCCTCGGCGAAAGCACCAGGGCGCCTGTAAGGGTTCCAAAAAAATGTTTGGCACTTAACATTCACCAACAGCAACAACAACAACAACAACAACTGCAGCATCAACAATAACAACACAACAACAGCAACAACAACAACAACAACAACCACAACAACAACAACAACCACAACACCACAAACAACAACAACCACAACAACATCAACAACAACAACGACAATAACTACAACGATAACAACAACAACAAGAACAACAACCACAGCAGCAGCAGCAGCAGCGACAGTAACAACAACAACAACAACAACAACAACAACAACAACAACAACAACAACAAGACAATAGCAGCAACAACCACAATAACAACAGCAGCAACAACAACAAAAACAGCAACAACAACCGCAACAGCAGCAGCAACAGCAACAGCAGCAGCAGCAGCATCATCACCACCATCACCATCATCAACATCACCATCACCCCCACCTCCACCACCATCATCATCATCATCATCCTCATCATCATCATCATCATCATCAGCATCATCATCACCAGCAGCATCGTCAAAATCATCATCATCTGCATCATCATCGTCATCATCATCAGCATCAGCATTGTCATCATCATGATCATTATCATCGTCATCGTCATCGTCATCGTCATCATTGTCGTCATCATCACGGCTCTCCAAAGCCTGGGAACACGGAGTGAAGTGTCCCAAGTGATGGCCTCCCGTGTCCTCTTCAAGAAACGCCACCCAGAATGCTGGGATGACGCGGTGGCGGGACTTGCAGCAGGCAGCTGAACATTTTAGGAAGGACCATGCGTGTGACTGTTGGGCGTTGTTAACCAGACGTAAGCAATACTAAGGCGAGAACCATATCTTAAATCCACCTACATCTATACGTGTAGCCGTTGCAAGATGTTGATGCGAAGATGTGCAGCACTAAAGCAAGATCGCCGATTTTGAACCCCCCATCCGACTAACTGTTGGAAGCGTTTATGACGAATGTGCGCAGCATTATGACGGGAGCCACAGCTAACCCCCTGGCGTCCATCCGTGTAACGGGTGAAAGCTTTTAAGACGAGTGTGCGCGGCCCCAAAAGATCAGGCACATTCGGAAAACCACACACACACACTCAATCCTTGCAAATGTTGAAGACTTCGAAACGAATGTCCGCGGCGCTGAGGCAAGAACCACAATTTGCAAGAACAAAAGAACTCCGTCCGCTCAACTGTTGGGAATTATTAAGACGAGTGTGGCGGCGCTACATAGAGAGAGCCATATTTGACAAAAGGCCCCCACCCCATCCGTGTAAGCGTTGAACATCTCAAGGTGCGAGAACATCAACGGTGAGGGGGGTTCAGGCGAAGCGTCCGGACCGCCCTCCAGTCACATCTGGTGCTGTCGAGAAGAAGATATCTAAAAGGAAAAGGAATTGAGGAGGAGGAGGAGGAGGTGAAGGCAGGACACGAGGAGGAAGCAGGAGGGAGTAGGAGGATGAGGGGCAGAAGGAAGAGAGGGGAGATGGGGAAGAGGAGGAGGAGGAGAAGGAGGAGGTGGAGGGGAACCTCCATTGGAACAGACGAGGGGTAGGAGAGGAAAGGAGGGGAAAAGGTGTAGGATGGGGTTGAGGACATCTGGAGGAGGAGGAGGAGGAGGAGGAGGAGGAGGAGAAGGAAGAGAGGGAGAAGGGGGTGGAAGAGGAGTGGCAAGGGGAAACAGGAAGGGAAACAAGGGAAAGAGGAGACGGGAAGAAGAGGGAGCAAAGGGAGGATGCGGAGGACGAGGCAGCCCCGCAGGCTGGAAAAGCACAAGCACGCCCTGCTGTGCAACGACCGACGACGGATTCTTGGCGGGCGGGCCACATCATGCATGCTGCTCCGTGCCACGCGCTGGAGTGATCGCACGTGCACCTGTACAAGCGATGACTTGCAGCGCTGGCGAGGAACGTGACACTGTGCCGTGTGTCTAGGCCTGGCACCTGTAGAATGGTGGCGTGTGCACCGAAGGGACGGCCAATCCAGAATCAGATCATGCGACCATGCATGAGTGCGCTGGCATGGCGGCAACAGCGTGGGAGCTGCGCGAAGTGACAGGGTGCTGCGACCATAGCAGGGCCGCGTTTCCGAAAACATCCTCCAGATACGCATCGAATGCACAATCGGTCGAAACGGCTAGGATACATGAAACGCGCTGCGAGCTGCAAACCAACACGCAGCCCCAGCAGGTTACGCACTCCACGAAAACCAACTCCTGGAGCAGATTCTCTTCCTAGCACAGTAGGCATAGGGATCGCGGCGAGGAGCACGCACAGAAGCCAGAGGATCGTTCGGCCGATCGAGTGCCCGGCCTCTGTGCATGGAAGGCTGGATGGGCTCAGCTTCCCTCCAGCGCCACGACCCCACTCGGCAGTCACATGCAGGTCCTGCCCTCGTGGGCCTGCTCTTCTTCAGCGGGGGTTTGGAACAGGGCAGATTTCTGGCGAATGCAGTGCCACCTGGGCGCCCACCGCGTCTGGCCCTGCGAGGGTCGGACACCATGGTGCCGCTTGAACCCGCAAAGGTTGGATTAGCATGTGTTGTAGCCCCACCAATATCGCATGCGCGATCCAGTAATGCCGCTGTGCGAGACCCCATCCTGGTGCTGAGCCCACGAGTCCGCGACCCGCTCCGGGCGCGCCGCCGTAGAGAAATGCGCTGCCCGTGGCTGGCGGAGGAGAACGAGGGCCATGAGTGGACTGCAGGATGACGAGCAGGAGGAGGAGAGGACGAGGGCGTGAGCCGAAGGAACCAGAGCGAGAGCCGCGCTGCATCATGCAATGCCTCGGCGCCTCTGGGCGGAGGGAGACCCATGGCCTCGCTCTGCATGGCCAGCAACCGGGCGCTGCCGCTCGGGGAGCTGGCCAGCAGCGCCGGCCCCTGCACCGGTGCGCTTCAGACAGCCTCGACGCCCGCCTGGTGGTCAGCCTCCCGCGCTCGCACCTCAGACATCATCTGCCGCATGAGCTCCAGGCGCTCCAGCTGCACCCGCCGCGAAGGCTGCCCCACCGCCGTGCCCCGCTCCACGTCGCCGGCCTGCCCAGAGCAGCAACCGAGCCGCCCGAGGAGCGGGACCAGCAGCACCAGCAGCACGAGCGCGGCCACGGCTCCGCCGATCAAGAGCACAAGGCGCACAAAAGTGGAGCCTCCCCTGGGCGGCGTCTGGTCCTCCTCGAGGCGCTCGGTGGTGGTCTGCCCGCCAGCGGAAGTGGTGGAATGGGGAGAAGTGCTGGTCGCAGCGGGAGGCGTGGGAGAAGTGATGGTTGCAGCGGGAGAAGTGCTGGTTGCAGCCGTGGTTTCGCCATTGGGTGTCACAGGCGAAGTAGGAATAGCAGGAGGCGTGGTCGTGGTCACGACTGGCGGGGTTGCGTTTGGGGTTGTGGTCACGATAGGAGGAACAGGAAGCGCGGTCGTGGTTACGACAGGCGGGATTGCGTTTGGGGTCGTGGTCACGACAGGAGGAATAGGAGGCGCGGTCGGGATCACGACAGGCGGGGTAGAAGTTGAGGTCGAGGGCGCAGCCGTCGGAGAGAAGGTCGGATGTGGTGTCGGCACTGCTGCTGGCTCAGGGGTGACCACGACGTCCGATAAGATACCCTGTGAACTCTGGTACGCTGCGAACGCCGCCAATACCCCGCCAAGGGCAAGAAATGCCAGCAGCAAGCAGAGAACTCTGTAGACCCCCAACTTGGCGACCCAGCTGCCGATGCTGCTGCTGCTGGAGCTCTCCAGCTCCAAGCGCTTCTCCACTTTAGTGATGGCCTTGGTAAGACTCTCGAGGCGATTGTGGCCCGCTTCTTCGGCCTGCTCCAGGAGCATGCTGACACGGAACTGGAAGATCTCTCTGTCTAGCCTCTCGAAACCGCCAGACTTGCTCACCCTGTCGCATATAAAGGCCTCGTCATTCGTGCTGCTGCACTTTGCCTTCGTTGTGTTCACGTCCAGCACGCTCTGCAGCCTCCTCCTGCCAGTGTCCGCATACCTCTGAGAGCACGCAGACCGCGTCGTGCAGTCCTCCCTGAGCGCCGTTGCGATCTCGTAGACGCACCAGAGGCGCTCGTACACCTCCGCCTGGGAGGTGTGTATCACCAGCATGCCATGGTGCTTGCGGGCCGACCTGATCACGTGGCCGAACGGGTCCATGGCCAGCTGCTCTGCCACCGTCGGCCCGACGTCCCCCTCGTCGTCCCCCGCCTGGTAGTTAGAGAACAGGCAAAACCACACGCACGTACTCGTCGATAGGTCATTGCGGCGGCAGTGTGCGTTCAGGGCCTCGGCGCACTCGGTGAGGTCCTCCGCCCACGTGTGAGAGAGCATCAGCTGCGCCTCTTTTGGGGCAGCCGCGTTCATGTTCAAGGCGACTCCACAGCCAGTTCCGCGAGTCCACGGCTTCACGAAGTGGTCGCAGGCGTCGTGCGCGCTGACGTAACCGCTTCGCCTGTCGAGGACCCGCCACCTGTCAGTCGACCTGCAGAACTGCACGAATTCGTTCCACTGCCCCACCGTCATCGCCCACTTCTCCGGCGGCACCTCGGCATTCGACGCAGCGTGGCCCGCGGCCGGAAAGCAGCCCGGCGCGGACGGCAGGTCGGGCACGGGGCCTGCCCTGGGCGGCGCGAAGGCTCGCTTCGCCCGCCTCGCGGGAGCCCCCAGGAGCCTCGGCAGCTTCTCCGCCTCCATCCCCGCGCCGCCGGGGCCGAGCTGGGAGCGCCTCCGACCAAAACGGCTCCGGAGGCCCCCGCCCTTCCCCTGCCCCGCTCCCACCGCCACCCCTGCCCCTAGGGAGTCCACGGGGGGCACAGCAACCAACGGCAGAGCGGGTCTCCACACATGACCAGTCCGTCCAAAACCTGGCTCGCTCGCCGCAGGTAGGGTGATCAGAGCTATCCTGCCGATTCTGCACAATCGGAGAGGCGGGGGGGGCGTACAGGTGGGGTGGGGCCAAGGGTGGGGATAGAGGAAAATCGATCTGGACAGCCTCAGACTGGGTTCGCTCCCTAGCCCCACCCTGGGTTAAACCCCCCTCTTCGCTACTTCCGATGTCCCACAGCAGCTCTCCAGAGCCCCCCAGGAACGGCGAGGTCTCGCTCAGGTCCCCGCGGTGCCTCACTCCGTCGGACCCACCAGCAGCCCACGAAAGTGGCGACAGCGCTCAGGCCCCCGCGGTGCCTCGCTCCGCTGGACCCAGCAGCAGCCCTCGAAAGTGGCGACAGTGGCGGCGGGCCCTGGGGCCCTCGGGGTCGCCCAAGAGGGGGCTCGGCCTCCCGTGGCGCGAGGAGTCGCCTGGGCCCCCAGGGTGAGCTGCCCTGCGTCGCACAGGGCGCCCGAGCGCTACGACATGCCGTGCCATGCTATGCCGTGGCATGCTGCGCCACGCTGTACCACGCTATGCCGTGCACTGCTATATCATGCGCGCAGTGGAATGCAACGCAGCGCAATGCTGATGCCAAGGTCTGTCTGGTCGGGTCTTCCGAGCTCTAAGACAGGACCACCACTCCCTATACTAGCAGACTCTTGCGTGCAACGCCCCTCCTTTCCGAGGCCATTTCCCTCGTGCCCGCTCGAGGATGGCACACGTCCAGCGTGGCAGCTAATGCCTAAATCCCCATTCCACGCGTGCCCGCTTGATGGGGGTGCACTTCCCGCGTGACAACTAACGCCTGAGACCTAACTTCACGCGTGCCCGACCAAGGATGGTGCACTTCCCACATGGCAGCTGATGCCCGAACCCTCATTACATGCGCGCCCGCTCGAGGATTGTGCACTTCCCGCATGGCCCCCCGCTCCCTAGGGGGCGCCTTCCCGGGGCTTTGCGCGTGTGAGAACTTTTGCGAGCAGGAGCCCGCCCAGCCCTCCCTGGTGGTCTCTTGGAGCTTCCTGGGGGCGCCTCGGGGGACTCCGTGGGGCTCTTAGCGTCTTTCGGGACGGAAGGCTCGAAATGTCCGTTCAGATCTCCGCTCTTGCCCCTCTCCTGGGGCGGTCTTGAGGGCCTGTTGGGCCGCCTGGGGGGCCCCTTGGGCCATCTTGGCGCTCTCTTGGGCCGCATTGGGGCCGTCAAAGGGGCCTCTTGGGCCGTCTTAGAGAATTTGAAAGCCCAAATAACGAGATGTAATGCTAAAACATTACCAACACATGGGGAAAAACTACAAGCGTGGCCTCACACGGCCCTCGTGGGGGGTGCACTTTTGGAGCATTGCGGGACCCTCTAGGGCCTACTTGAACCTATCGTGGGCTTCGTCGAACGTTATTGGGTCGTCTTGGGGCCCTCTTGGCGCGTCTTGAGGGCCTTTTGGGCCTCCCGTGGCCGTCTTGAGACCCTCTCTGGGCCCCAAAGGCGGGGAACCCAGAAACGCACAAGAGAGTCACCTCTGTGGAGCCGTGGCCGCAGGATCCCCCATGCATCTATATATATATATATATATATATATATATATATATCGGAAGAAAGAGAGAGAGAGGGGGGGCAAACAAGTAACAATGATGAAAGAAATGGATACCATGCGAAGGCATGGGATGGTATGCAAAGCGATGGCATGCAACGCTATGAACTGATGTGCAGTGATGCGGTGTGATACAGGCTGAGATGATGTAATACACAATGCGATGCCGTGCCGCTGTATGGTGTACAATGAGATGCTAATCAGCCATGGTACGTCACCGTACACACTGAAGTATGGCATGGCATGGCTTGCGAAGCTATGGCATGAAATTGTGTGTTGTAGTACCAAGTGTGAAGTATGGAAAGATGTGCACCGTTATGAAATGCGACTATATACAGTGTCGCGATATGATATACAACGCTACTCCATGTTATGCTACGAATGGTATACCAAGACATCCAATGGCATACAATCCGATGGTTATGAATGCTTGGCAAGTCTGCTTGCTATAAGATGTCAGGCGATGTTTTGCTGTGCATGGCATTGCAAGCCATTGCATTGCCCCCGTGCGAAGTCGACAAACATTGGCGACCCAAGAGCCCATAAAGGGAGATATGTCTGCCAAGCCCGCTCGCTACGTCCTGATAGTCGTGGTCGATCGTTGACGCAATCCTCCTCGTCCTCCTCCTCCCTCCTCCCCTCCTCCTCCTCCTCCTCCCCTCCCCTCTCTCCCCTCCTCCCTCCTCCTCCTCCTCCTCCTCCCTCCTCCTCCCCTCCTCACCCTCCTCATCCTCCTCCTCCTCCTCCTCCTCCTCCTCCTCCTCCTCCTCCTCCTCCTCCTCCTCCTCCTCCTCCTCCTCCTCCTCCTCCTCCTCCTCCCTTCGCCTCACACCACGCGGCTACCAAATGGTGTCATTGCCGCCTATCGACAAGCCCCGTGCTTCTGGAACTGGTAACGAGTTTGTCATTGTCTGAACAATAAGAAGACTACGTACGCCGGCGACGCGCCAAGGGACGTGCCAGGGTCGCGCCAAGGGATACGCCAGCGAACGTGCCAGGGGACGTGTCAGGGGACGTCTCGGAGGACGTGCCATGAACGTCTCCAGGAAGCGCCACGGAACGTGCCAAGGGACGCGCCAAGGGACGCGCCAGGGGAAGCGCCGTGGAACAAGTCAGAGGACGCGCCAGATGACCAGCCAGAGGGAGAGCAAGGGGAATTGCCAGGGGACGAGCCGCAGACGTACCATGGGACGCGCAAGGAGTCGTGCCAGGGGAAGTGGCAAAGGACGCGCCAGGAGACGCGCCAAGGAACGCGCCAGGGGACGCGCCAGGGATCGGGTAACCGAGGGAAGCGCCTTGGGATGCGACACGGAGCGTGTCGGGGAACTCGCCAGGGGACGCGCCAAGCGACGCGCTGAGGCGCGTGCAGTGGACGCGCCAGTCGACGCGCCCAGAGACGTGCCATGGGACGCGCCATAGGAAGTGCCGCGCGGTACGCCAGGGGGACGCGCCGTGGGACGCGTCGGGTGATGTGCTGGGAGGCGCGAGAGCAAGGGGACGCGCCAGGAGACGTGCCGGGGGACGCGCCAAGAGACACGCGCCACGGGACGTGCCAGGCGACGCGCCGAGGGACGCGCCGGGGACGCCCAGGGAACGCGCCAGGGGACGAGCAGGGAAGCCTGCCAGGCGACGCGCCAGGAGACGTGCCAGTGGACGCGACAGGGGATGAGCCAGGGGGCGAACCGCCCTGCTCTGCAAGCCCCTCTCTGGCCCCCAGAAGCCCCCCCCCCATCGCCCTCCCCTGGCAGGCGTCCCGAACCTCCGCGGCCCCCCACGCACTGCCACAGGCCCGGGCCCCTGGCGCTCGCGGACGGGACCGTGGCGCGCGCGCGCGCGAGGCCTCTCCGCGCCCCCCCCCTCCCCAGACCCCCGACGTAATGATTTTTTCATTACGTCGACCCCAGAGTTCTCGACCCCTTCCCCAGGACCGGTTCTTCATCCTGAGTCGTTTTTTGACGCTCCCGAAGCCCGGTGAGGGCCCCCAGGGGCAGAAAATGTACAAAAACCTCCCGTCATGATTTTTTCAGTACCCGAGGGGGTCTGGGTCCCGCGCGATCGGCGGCGAGAGGCGCGGCATCCAAAGCGAGGCGGAGCTCTCGGGCTGGGCCTCGCCGTCGGCCGCGCCGGGCGGCCGCGCGGTGCCCAGCCCGCACCGCCCCGGGGGCCAGCCTCCGGGCCCCCCAGGCGGCCCAGCGGCAGGGGCAGGTGGCGCGCCGGCGGGCGGGACGGCCCCGGGCCGCTCCGCAGCGCTCCCAGAGATCCAACGCATTGAAAAAATCACGACGGAAATGTTTCGCGGACCCAGACCCCCGACGTCATGATTTTTTCATGACGCGACCCCCAAAGGTCCCGACCCATTCCCCGGGACCGATTTTTCGTTCTGAATCGTTTTTTGACGGTCCCGAGGCCCGGTAAGGGCCCCCGGAGGCCGAAAATAGCGAAAAATCTCCCGTCGTGATTTTTTCATGACTCGAGGGGGTCTGGGGATTTCGGCCTCGAGGGGCCCTCGCCGGGCCCCGGGACCGTCAAAAAACGACTCGGGATGAGAAACCGGTCCCGGGGAATGTGTCGAGACTTGTGGGGACCCCGTATGGAAAAAATCACGACGTCAGATCTCTGGGTTTGCTGATTCCCTGCGCCGCGGCCACGACGGGGATCCAAGGGCTCCCAACTTCGCGCTTCGCGCTGCGCGGAGCGCGAGGTGCGACTAGCGTCGCGCGCGCTCGCGCCGCCTCCCAGGGGAGAGGAGGAGGACGAGGAGGAGTCGGAGCCGAACCGCGAAGCGCGAAGCGCGAATAACTTCGCGCCCTCGAGGGCGCCTTTGGAGATCACGGGAGGGATGGTGGCACCCGCTCAAGCGAAACAAAGTCGGGGGTTGCTAAGCCCAGACGTGCGACGTCCTGATCTTCTCAGGACGGCGTCCCCGAAGTCCAGGCCCTGTCCTCAGGGCCGCTTTTTCATCCTGAGTCGTTTTCTGACGCTCCTGGGGACCGGCGAAGGCCCCCAGGAGCCGAAAAGACAGAAAAACTTGCCGCCCTGATTTTTCACGACGCGGTCATGTCTGGGAAGGTGCCCCTGGCCAAAGATGCCCCCAGCTTTTCGTTCCATTCTGGAGCCCCTGGAGCCCGCTGGGCCTCGCGAGGGGTGCTCTCTGGAGGCCGCGGGGGCCCCCTTGGAAATCCTAGGGGCATCTTGGGCCAGGGGCACTGCGTCTGTATATGTTTTATGTTTGTTCTTTATACTTGTTCTTTCTGGGGGGGGGGGAGGGCCAAGGGCACTTCTAGCAGC